CAAATGATGAAGCTTTCCGAACCACATTGAGATATGCCCACACATTTGACTTTTATTCAGAATCGCAGTGGCTTTCGAATGGGCCCTATCAAACGAATTCGATAGGTATTGATCAACGACGGGGTGATGGTATAAGGTTCAATCCTGTGCGTGTTCCTCGAGCCCTACATATGATGGGAGTGCCACTTGACACAATCATAATACTGATCAATTTATAACATAGAAATTCAAAACAGTTGTAACGGTTTTCTGAGAGTCTTATGAAAAAAGCAGTAAAAAAACTTCAATAACCAGTCACTTTTGCATTTTTTACAGAGGGAAAAAAGCAAAAGAGAAATGGATGTTGGTCACACTGAGCTCGCCTTCTCGTTTCAGAAAACAACTCGGAATTTACTTGCATCATGAAGAGTTTTGATTACCTTAAAAGACTTCTATCAGACCCTTCCGATCGTGAAATGGGTGAACCTTAGGGTATTGACATTCCTTTAGTGGCCTAGGGAAGCGTTTACCCATACGCAGCCGGTTGAACAACAAGTAACGGCCATCTTTCAGTAATGTTTTTCAAGTAATCTTTGTTAAGCTTTTTTATTATCTAGACTTGTTCTAATACATTAAACCTTTACATTATAGACTCATTATAGATACTTCCTCGACCAAACCACCTTCGGCACAAAAGTGATCAGGCACCAAACCAGTTCGGGTAGGTAGATGGTTATTGGACATTGTTACTGCCACCACGTAGTCTATTCTTGACGAAGACGGAACAGACTAGGTGGCGCTTCTAAACATGTATGAAAGTTCAGTAGGGATCCGGACTCTCACGAAAATCTATTTTCGCTCCATACTCCCCCTACCAATTTGAACGCATTATTTTACGAAATTTCGCGACTAGGAGTACTGTGGAGCAACACTGAGATTACGGTAGGAGTATCAATCCGTACTGAATTCACGTCATTCATTCTGGAGGTCAATCTAAGCCGATTTTTTCAACTCCTACCCATGATCGGTTACGTGGGCAGCTTTTCAGAGTCCACACCCTCCGGAAAGCATAGTACCCCAGCACCATCCATGTAGGTGGGATGTGGAGGTAGGAAGGTACTCTGCTTTAGCACCCATGGGACTGGTCGATGGTAACGATTGACCTGTTATCAATTTCTTCTTTATTTTCGAGAGCCATAGGTGAGGCAGATCCACATTATTTAGTGTAATCGCTGGCTGAACGCTACAGTCCTCTTCTTCCCTACGCAGTACTATAGGGACTCTGGTGCGTTACCGTTCCATACGAGGTAAAGTAGGGGACTAGGAGTGCCCTCGACGTTTGGGAATGCAGTCAAAGCATGGGCATGAACTGTGCAGGAACCGAAATGACTTGTTCCACGTCTTTTCTATGCGAAGCGATTTCTCGCTAGGCGACAACGCGATTCCCCTCTTAGTCCAGCGCGTACACGCAACCGGGTCGATTCAGCAGTCACTCTGTTATCCCCGACGGGGGTGAAACACACTGCCTTCGCTAAATCATGTCGCGAATCGTGTGCGTCCCAAAAAGCGGACGAGCGTCTCTAATTTGATTATAGGAGCGAGCGGAAACGGTCGCGAATGGTCGTACCGACAGGTTCTCGCGCCGGAAATGGTGTGATGGCGGCGCTGGCGCCCTCTACCCCCCTTCCGCTCTCCCCCTATGCTACGACCCAAACCCCCTTGACGGCGGCCGGCGCCTTACGAATCCCCTGTATGGCGCCTTAGGACTTATCAGTAATCACGTTTGCGAGAACATTACTTAATTGTTAAAGAGTAAAGATTAGGTACCGTAGCCATTGATTACAGGTTCGCAAGAAAAAAAAACGGTAATTTTTAGCTACAAAAGCGATTCACATGGGGAACACATGCCAGGGAGCAATAAAATGGCTAGGTTCCACCTGCTATTCACGAAGTTTTCAGGAAAAAAACGAAAGCAATTGGAGAAAATTTCAAGTATTGAAAAGAACACTTGGACAATTCAGCAAATGTTGCCTAGGCTATTAGTGAACAAGGAAAAAAAGATAAACGAAAGTCTACTTGAAAACGATTTTAAATCTCTTTTAAAAGTATTCAGAAATCTATAAATGGGAATTATAAAAAGGAAAATGCCAGTATACACAAAGAATAGATGAGTTATGTATTCGGAAATGATTACCTGTACAGTACTGCTGACATTCGTCCGAGTTTTCCAGTGTAATACGGCTTCCACCGCTTCCCTCGATTTTTACGTTTTTCATTTTTGCTCCGACACCTGCAGCTATAATGAGATGATTATTTGGAAAAAACGATCTCCGATGCAAATATTCCTTTAGTCCGCTGGTCTTCTTTGCATTTATACTTTTACATAACTTTTTAGATTGCAGCAATACTCGCGAAATCTATGTATAGGCTGGATATACGTGTCTCACAATGAGTCGACGTTTGCCCGTTGAACTCCCAAACATCAACAAGCGATACGGGGGGAAATTAAAATGAAAGTGAATGAGTTTCGGCGAACTCGTACACGTGAATGACGTGTGAGTTACGAAGTAAATGAGGTACTCGTTGAGCCCTGCTGAGCCATTAAGCACCGGTGGTTGAGGTGGGGTGAGAATTCCGGGAATGTGCGTGTATGGGACGAGTTGAAGTGGGAAGGAGCCAAAGACAATAGGGTTGAGCTTGAAACATCCTGACCTCCATTAGCATTTGCTCGAATACCACTGATCATCATATCTTCTTGTTCAGAGTAGTTAATCGATGACTTCATGAAGCATCTGAAATATCGACACCGTAATTTCCTTCCGTTGAATTTCCGGTTGAGACCTCTGTCAAGGCTATTTCTAGCCCAAGTGTTTTGAAAATAAAAATCTTCTCGACAAATACATCCGGTCATAATGATGATGCGAAAAATTAAACGGAAACGGTAACACAAGCTAAAAATGCATCAGAATTGACGCAAAATTGCACAAACCTCTTTAACGCCTTCGAGTAAGTATAGCCGGCACAACACGGCTGACTAGCACACTGTATACAACACTGAGTAATATCACTGGCATCGAACTCATCATAGGTACCGCCTTTTAGATTGATATTTGGTAGGTAGAAGCATGTCGATGCTAAATAGTAACGAGTAATTTATCCCAACATACCCCTATTGACTTTGTCAACTTACTAAAATTAGGTGGTAATAGAAAAAGTATGACCAAATCAGTAAAACGGCCACACAACAAGGGCTCTTAATACAATTACATTTACAGTAACTAACAACATGGAGTTTTTTGTTTGACAAAATAACGGCAATTCGATTATACACCACTTGTTAAGGTATTTTTAGCCTTGACATTGACATATGCCTAATCTAGAATATCGAAGGAAACTACCAAATAAACCAGTAAATCATCAAGGATCATTCGAAATACTTACAAATTGCCCTTGAGCTTGGGAGTACGGTTAGTATTACGAGTAATACGATCATTGTCTCCTGAAAACAGAGAAGAACTAAAAGCTTGAAATGATTCGTAAAGATGGAGCGAGTTTCTGAGAAAAACAGGCGACGAGGCGTTTTTAGAGGTGGAGTTCAAGGTTTACTAGGACTTAGAGAAAGTAGAGACTAAATATAACTTTGCAGTGTACTATGTAGTAGTACGGAAAGTAGTAGGCGGAGTCGAGCACTGATCATTGCAACACAACTACACACCCGGTTGCCGCCGGTTCGACGATACGTACGTAGTAAGGGAGGATGTGGAGATGGGTGATGGTGGGGTGGTCTACGAGGGGGAGGGGATGGAGGGTGAGGGGGCGGGTTCTTTTCGATGTTCTCTCGCGCCTACACACCAAAGCACATATTAGTAGACCACACTATATCTACTATTTAGTTATTAGATATAAAGAAGAAGGGCAAATCAGGAAATAACAAAGAAATACAGTCAATCAACATGACGCGTTATCGCTTCTACTTCCTGAGAAGGTGTCCGTCAAATCACGAATAGACTGATGAGCGAGAGGACGAAAACAGGATGTTCGACGTGATGAAGCGTGTTGTTGGTCTTATAGAAGAAGCTTAATGAAGCCAAAACAGTGAGCTAACTGAAGTAGTTTGGACTCAGGCAACTCAACGAAAACAGAGGGCCCCCAGAAGCTCCAACAGAAAGGGGATACTGCCCGATTTTGCCACGAGTCTGAGAATCATTTTAGATTTTTCCGTTTACGAGTTTTTTGTACGAGTTTGTTGGTGAAGCTGGGCTCATGAACAAAATGGGACTCTATTAGGAATTATTTGGGAAGGCTTGAGCTCCTCCTGACAGTTATCAATAAATTGAGTTTACAGTACGACAAATATTGAATATACTACTCGTAGTACTACAAGTCAAATACAAATACAATTATTTGTGGTTTTAATATGAGCAGAGGAAAATGTTATAACAAGTTTTAAAGGAATTTCCCATACATAACTGGAAACAGCTCAAGAATATCTTCCAGTGGCAAATAACTCAATTTCACCAAACCAGTGGAAAAACCCTATTACCTTCTTGCATTTCTAGGGAATTTAGGTATACTTGGATGTAAACACCTGTTATTGTATAACATTTTGAGTTTTCAGAGTATTGTAAAACCGAATAAATCGTTAAATGGGACTGAATGACCTAGTAAAGAACGCTTTTATCACTTTGTTGTGTTGGCCTGAGAAAAGACCAGGCGGTTTTTGAACACCATGGAAAGGTTCATTTGAAACCGGAAATTTTTTGGTAGGTTTTGAGAATATACTCGATTAGAGTTAGCATAATTTAACGATGGAATGAGCAGTGGCTATTAGTATGCTCAGTTAGTTTTTGGGAGCATTCGGAAAGAGTATTNGAGTAAAGTAGTAATTGACGTCATCATGAAAAACTACTAAGTAGTAAACAAATGCAAAATCAGACCGAAGGGAAAAAAGTTTTAGCTTATACAGGTTCAATATCGAGACTAATGACTCATAGAGAGTAATAAGCGAATAGAGCGTGTGCAGAATTGAGGCGAGTTGAAAGACTAAGCAGTAAACAAGTAAACAGCGTTTTGGTTATGCGTACCAACGGCGACGATAAGGTGTACAATGAAATCACCTTGCAAAACTGATTTCCTAGGCACAAATTAGTTGATAGGCTTCGTTGAAAAACACTTAATCTGACTAGAAAACCCCTATCTGATAAGTTTTTTTGTTGTTTTCCAAACGATAAACAATTTCGACAAGCATCCGAGAAGCTTAAGGAATGCCTCGGCCAGCGTTATCAATCCGGCCGATAAGGTTCGTGTTTGAGTAACCTGTCAGCAACTTCAAAATGAATCAAAGGCAAGGAAAATCCTCAACGGAAATTTCTTGGAAATGTCGACTAGGCTATGCATTTTATAGAAATCATTTTCCAGTGCAATTATCTGAATGCAGGAAATAAATTTTACGTCCTTCTCTTCTCTATGACCTCCTTCTTCTCTTCTCTTCTCCAAAAGTTCTCCAGATAGAGGACAATAAACTTTTCATATTTCCCTATAAAAGGACAAAAAACGGATGGTCTTGGTCTGTGCTCTATTCCTTTCCAATTGATTTTCCAAAAAGTTCAGTTGAGAAACAGAAAGAAATCAGAAAATTCGAATGAAGGAAAGTACGCTTCAAAGAATTTCAAGGGCAGTGGTCCGAGTTGTCGAGCGGAGTATCTGGGAGAAAAATTACAAATAGAAGAACTGAAAGTATAAGGTCCTTCCTAATTTAAGCACATGGAAGCAATCGTCAGCAGAGGTTTTGAACGAAGATCTGAACGTCAGGTCTGAGAAGATCAAGAACGACACCTTTGGACTGACCGGGAAGATACCGCCCACCGAATGCCCTTCCTGAAAACGGGGAAGATCTTCTTGATTTATGTGACGGCTGTAGCGTTCATCAGTGTAGAATAATATTATTATCTCTTTCCTGCTATTCAATGAATTATTAGTTTATTTTAATTGGAATAGCGCCTGGCGGAGGTGGTGCAGTGGCAGGTGGCGCACTATCACTCATGCACGGTCACCGGTTCGATCTCCAAACAGGCCAACCGAGCCTTCCATACTCCGTGGTCGGTTAATTGGTACCAGACTCGCACGGGAGGATATAAGCACTGACTTGTTCATCAGCTGGCTACCCACAAGTCATTGCATAGGCTGAATACGCATTCACTACGCCATTACAATCATAATTGGGAGTTGAATGCGGGGCGCATCCCACAGACGAGATTGCTTAACGGCAAAGATCTTAAAGAACTTAAGCTATTGTGAAATTACTACTGTCAGAACTCTCGGGGGCTTGCACAGCCTCATATTAAAAGGTAAACCAGTAGAACAGAAGACCACGGTACAAAAAATGTCGACAAAGTTTGTGGCCGACAGCCAGCACGTGGAATTGGCAAGGATGTCTCAAGAGATTCGAAGTTATGCTGGAGAAGTTCTACAGACGCGATCTTTTATAGGAGGATGGTGGACTTCTTTAGCTCTAAGACTGACGTCGAGGAAATGGTTGACGTATGTTGTCACCCAGGAATGTTGCAGAATGAAATGAAATGAGCACGATGAAAGATTGGCTGAGCTCACCACGTCAATTAGCGCTATCTGTGGTAACTCCAATTTCTCGAGGTCTTTTCACAACTGAAAGAATTACGGCTACCTAGAAAAAAGTTCTATAATGAGACAGGATGCTGTAATTATAGGAGAGAATTTGATCTTCCTAATGTTGCCATCATCACAACAAACCAGACTACCGTTTTTTCGTTCTTAGGACTTATATATAGAAAATTTCAAAATTCAAGGAGCGTTATTCAAGAACTGTTGTCTATGTATAAGTAAATACTGCCTTAGATGAGCTCCACAGCGTATGAGTTGTCAGATGTCAGAGTTTGTTTCCTGTTCATGTCGAACACATCAGGAATTGCAGCCTACCTGCCCTTCTGCCCGTTCGCGAGATGCAAGTATGCCTTTAGGTCCGAGCTGGTTCTACGTGCTTCCTACTGTTAGAAAAAGATTGACTGACGCTGAAAGAGGCTATTTTTAAATTTTTCTAACAAGTTCAACATCCTTGTGAGTAGGAGTTTTTTTTTCTGAGACTACCTAAAGCAATATTTAGAAACAAGCTGTTTTGAGTAAGCTTGTGATACAAGATGTTAATTCCATTTTATATTATACGTGAATTTTCTGTAACGTATACTTGTTTTCAATTGTTAATTTCAAATTTTTTGAAATTATAGTAGAATAGTATTTACCCCAGCTGACACTGGTCGGTTGGTACCATCACTCGTTTCGAAGATTCCACGAAGCTACGGTGAGTGCCTCTCCTTTCGATCACTTGTGTGACCTGGGGGTTCGAACTTCGGTGAGTTGGTGGAGACGTTTGATCGGGTAATCACAAATTGTTATGGTCCTTTCAGACTCTGAAGATATCGCCGAAACGTCAGCCTAATAAAGCTTGTTTACAAACCTCGTGAAGAGTTCAGAATAACAATAAACTCAATAGTAGGCTGTTGCTGTTGCAATAGGCGTGTTTGAGGATTATTTATCTATGTTGTATTTTTTCAATCATATTGGTCTCCTGCAATGTAAAGAACATATTCTACGTAACGTATTGGCCAACAACTGACAACACCATTGCTCATTAATTACTGCTTTTGAAAACTCTTAATTTTTCAAAATCGCAACCTTTCGAAGACTGGCATTTTCGCTGGGACGTTACTGTCTTGCATTTAAAGAAAATTAAAAAGTATTTGAAAACGATAATGAGAACCAATTTTGCAAGGCGTATCCTGCTCCACCTGGCCCTTCAAGCAGGTCTATGTTTCAAAACAAAATTTAGAAAATAGAAGCGGACCATAAGAAGCATAGCTCCTCTGCTGGCTGTTTGTTGTTCCAGAAGGTCTGACCAGTGTCGGTCCCAGGTGGCCCATTCAACGATCATTTCTAACTAGGCTGTACTCGAGATTTCGTAGACTCGGGATATGGTAGTCTAGGAAAATTCTTCCATACTTCCAGGTAATGTTGAAAATGCCACAGTAAAAAGCGACTCTGTAACGTTGTTCTACTGAAAAAAGCTGTTCTACTTGTTTACTCCAACATTACTAGTTTACGAAAACTTCACAAATGAGCCCCGAGTAGGAGCTGAAAAGATCTGTGGTCGATTCATTATTTTCCCCATACTGAAGAAGGACGGCAGAGAAAAACTAACGAAAACACCCACAACTCACTTATTCACATCTTGTTTTTTTAATTCTGACAGTAATTCGATTTCAGTGTTATTTTGCAACATGCACGTGTAACACTTGGCCAGAGATTACGCAGTAATCTGTTTACTGTTTAAGACCATCGGGGGAGGAAATGACTAACAATTCGGAAAGGAATCTAAAAAGTGAGTTTCATAAAAACCTATCCTGCGATGAAGGTATAGACAGGATGTAAAGTATGACGTGTAGTTAACAAATCGGAATAACCTTACTAATTGATATTCATTCCCTTGAGAGACCTGGCCTGCCTGAAAAGTTGGTCCCTCGCTTCCACCTTCTTCGCGATGTAAGTTCGATCTATAAGGCGGCGAAGTATACTTCTGGACAAAAAACCTTAGTTTACATCAGAAACAGCTTACCCCTTTTCAGCCTCTTGGAGTAGGAAATTAAAAAAGGAATTGCGTCAGCAAAAAGAATAACAGAGAAAAAATAATGGGAGAAAAACATCGCCTCACCACTCGGCGATCAGCCGATTGTGTGTGGGTCCCAGAACGAATATTCGCAATCTGTATTGCCTCGGCACTCGTCTAACGAGACATCGATCGAGAGGCGGGGAAGCGACTTGAGACAGCAACAGGGCTTCCACTGGCCGTGACACTGGAGATTTGGGAGCGAGAGGGACCCTTCTACCAGCCAAGGGGGCCACTGAGTATTCCTGAGGGAAGAACTCAGTAACCATTTTTATCGTGAACTGTGCCTTTAAAGGCACCGGGGGTAGCGAATGGAGTGATCTTTGATTAGTTTTACTGTAAAGTATGTCAAGCTACTACATCTGTCTCCAAGGCTTCCATTCTCTTTCCAGAATCTTCAGTGCATCATACCCAACTACTCGGTATCCACTGAGGTGAATGCAGATGCTGTGCACTGGTTCGGCTTTGGAGTTCCAGTAAAATAGATGCTCATTCCAGGAAATTCGCCATATCAGTTCAAGTACTAAAGGTGCGAAAGCTTTTCAGAACAGCTTTTTTGTTTGGATAACGTGTTATACCTGATTTTCACACATATTCAGAAAGGAAAGCCGTAGCGTCTGAAACTGAAACTATGGAATTCTCCAGCCTAATGTCAATAAGTTGGCATGCGAAAGGGACAGCTCGGAGGCACAGTTCGTATTAGTTCAAGGTACCTTTATGAACGAGAAAATCCGCAGAACTCGCGGAATACCAGATTCATATTGAAAAGTAGTGACAATATGAGTTGTATTAGATTATCGTGACGAGATTTATAAGGAATGAAACCCAGGTCGAGTTGCTCTCCACTGTCACCAACTACAGTGGGTTACAACTAGTTGTTCGAATTTTCAACATGTCTGCTCCAACAGGAATGGTGCCACCCCTACAACCCCGGTAAAACACGTCCCTTCTTTGGGTGTGGACCTCGATACCGGTCCTTTAACCCATGTTGTGAGCTTCTAAAAGCACTTTTGACTCGACAGCGTCTCATATGGCTAAGTGGAAGCCACAGGTTCGTTATAATTGTATATCTCTAGAATCGTCTTGTCTTGAAACCTACTTTTAGGTTGATAAATGACATCAATTCCTGAGAAATTGTCATTGATGATAATTGCGAGTGTGTTCTAAGTAGTACTTACTTGTCCGAAAGCATATATAGACAACACTGGATTAGGCTCAAGTTTAGATGACAAAGCAAGAGGCTACATGGGTGAAATTCCAGAGGGACGTGTTTTCGCATGACCGACAATGCGATAACACTGCTACAGAGGTGTTAGACTCTGAATCAGTTACCGAAAATAGAAATTTCATGTGCCTTTACAATTCTGAAGACTATTCATCATCATTACCACAACCCAAACTAGTATGAGGCTGTCGTAGTTGTTTTGTGCTACTGAATACTACAGATTAATTTTTCCAAAAGGGGTGCAACTTCCAATTTAGCAGTTTCTCTTCCATAGATGTTCTTCGTGAAACTCGGCCTCCACCACTTGCAAGCCGACGGCCATTTCCTTTCAAAAAACCTGCATACTGTTGCGAAAGTTCTCGTTCCCTAGGAACCTTGACACCCTGGAAATTACCGAAGGTATCCGCGCCTCGGAAAAACACACCTTTAAAGCCACAGTTCACGATAAAAGTGGTTTCTGAGGTTAAGCCGTAGGATGAAATAGAGATACCTTGTATACCTTACCTGGCGCTGCTAGGTGGAAGAAGGGCTTGGTAAGGGAGTTATATAGGCTTAAAGCCTCCACCGTGTGTATCCTCGGACGAGTTTCAGCGGCATCGTAGAGGCTGCACCGCTCACAAGAGTCGATTCTGAAATTGCGAACCTCGAGCACGGGATTCAACGCGTTTACCGAAACGCGATGAGTGAGCCTTATCGCAGTAATCTGACCCCAACTGAACGCAGAGGGGTGAAGAAGCTACTGCAAGCGAAGGAGGTTTTGAGGTAC